TCACAATGTTGATCTTCTGATCCATGAGCATGGGATATTTTTCCACTTGTTCATGTCAGCTTTGATTTCTTTGAGCAGTGTTTTGTAATTTTCCTTGTAAAGGTCTTTCACGTCTCTGGTTAGGAAGATGCCAAGGTATTTCATTTTTTTTGTGGCTATTGTGAATGGAATTGTGTTTTTTATTTGGGTTTCTGTTTGTTTATTATTAGTGTAGAGAAATGTGATTGTCTTCAAAAGACATTTCTACACTCTGTGTATATATTTGTATATATCCATGTGCATGGACATTGACCACAATGCACGTGAGGGCTGGACAGTAGTGTGTGACAGGTATGTGAAGGACGAGGACTGTCTCTAGTGTTGTAGAGCCAGTGAGGCCCTGATGGTCCATGCCACCCATCCACACTGTGGCTTGGGTCACTGTGATGGCCACTCTTGTTTATCACCTGTTGTGTCACATCGCCATGCTCTATGGCAAACTGTCCAGCCATCCTGAAAAGTGTCACCTTTGAGCAACCCTGGTTTTGGTTTTTAGACTTTCAAATAAATAATCTACTGTATTCTCTGTGACATCTTAGAAATTCCACATAACCTCCCTGGGACTTGCTTTCAGCTGTTGGGTGGGCTTAGGGTCATGGTGCATTTTCAATGAATGAATATGTGTCCTGTTTATTGAATACATGACAGGAGGCACTCCTGCATCCAGCCATCCAAACATAGCCCTGGGGCTCTTGAAAGCAGGTGTTGCTGCTGCTGCTTGTTTCTAGAAAGGCTCTGTAGGGCCACAGTGAACCCAGGTGAGCTGTGTTTTTCCATGGGCTCATACCAGATGGCATCTGAGTTTGAAGATATTTATTTTGTGACTTAAGTGCTTACTAACTCTCTTCTCTTTTTGTGTTGTAGGAAGCCAGCTATTTAGTGGTCAAAGTGACTTTAGAATCACAACCTTGAAGTTTCATCCAAAAGACCACAGCGTTTTTTTATGTGGCGGCTTCAGCTCTGAAATGAAAGCGTGGGATATAAGGACCGGCAAGGTAACCCCTGTCTCCCCAGCTTGGCCTTTCCACCTGGGCGCTCACCTCAACAATTTGAATACCTGGGGGCAGAGCAGCATCTATATATAGGGCCCTTAAGATGGAATAATTACCTCTTAATATTTAATCCGTGCTAGGCATAATTTCTAGATGTCTTGAAAGACTGTTCTTGTGTTGTCAGACCATTAAAACATCATAGGTGTAATTCTATGCAGCAGATTACTAAAAATACTTGTTGAAGACCTACTGTGTGTAAATGCTTCCAGATGATACAAAATGATTCAGCCTTGGGTTGCTCAGGGGAATAGTGTTTGGATACAAATGACTCTGGTGCAGACTAGTATGTGTGTCTGGGTGTGTGTGTGTGTGTGTGTGTGTGTGTGTGTGTGTGTACACACGTGCACATGCTGGGAGAGAGAGGAGAGGAGGGGAGGGGCCGGCATTCCGAGGAGTGAGGGCTTTCAGCTTGTTGTGGAAAGGCATCCTAGAGGAACTGCTGTTGCCCTTGGGGCAAATGGCGGGTGGTGACTTCAGCCCCCACCCTTAACTGCTACCTGCCTGCCTATCCTGCTATGATAGCAGCTCCGTCCCAGTTGTTCAGGCTCAAAACGTCAGGGTCAGCCCTGCCTCTGCTCTTCTGTCACGTCCCCACGCCCAGACCATCCACCGATCCTTCAGAACCTCAACACTTCTCCACACCCACTGCCCGAGCTCTGGGCCAACCCGTCACTGTCTCTCTGGGATAATTGCAGTGGTTCCCTATCTGGTCGGTCTCTTTCCCCCTTGTCCCTTGCAATCTGTTCTCAACAAGGCAGCCAGAGTAGTCTGTTATGGTAGAACTCAGATGTGTCATTCCTCTGGTCAGAATCTTCCAGACTCTGCTCTAATAGCAAAAGCCAGTGTCCCTGTGATGGTCCACAAGGCCCAAATGATCCTCTCTCGCCCCCTCTCATCAGATCCAGCCTGTCTAGCCCCCTTGCCTTTCCTAGAACATACCAGCACATTCCTGCCTCAGGGCCTTCACACATGCTGCTTCTGCCTGTCAGGCTCTTCTCCCAGTTGCCTGTGCGGAGGCTCCCTCCCCGCCACAGGGCTCTGCTCAAATGTCAGCTCTCCAGTGAGGCCTCCCAGCCCACCCTGCCCGCCACCCCCAGCTGTTGCTAATTCCCACTGCTGTCTTATTTCTCTTAGAGCATTGATTACCACCTGGCATACTGTGAGTTTTACATGTTTATTCAGTTACCTGTTTTCCTCCACTCAAATGTGAGCTCTTTGAGGGCAGAGATTTTTGCCTATTTGCTGCTGACATGTAGCTTCTAGAACAGTGCCTGGCTCATAGTAGGCACTTGATCATGACTGACTGAATGAAGGAAGGAGGAAGACAGTTGTGCAGAGTGTGCAGGCACAGGAGATAGGAATACGGGTGTGTGGGGGATCAGAGATCAGCTGCACTTGGTCGGGCTGAGTGACCCTTGGCAGACAGACTTGGCGCTGTGGGTTTGGGCTTGGGTGAACAATGGGAGCAATGGGGGTCTGTGAGCCTCTCCTGCCCCAGTCCTGGGCAGTTGCAGCTTCTGATCAGGTCTACACTGAGCAGAGGCCATTTGCGTTGTCCAGGTGGAGGAAGAGGGAACAGCCCCTGAAGCCTAAATTCCAGATTCACCTGCCTGCTTCAGGCCAGTCCAGCAGGAAGGTGCTTTTCCTACAGGAAGTTAGAAGGAGCTACTGTTTTTTTGTTTTTGTTTTTTTAAATAGAGATGGGGTCTTACTATGTTGTCCAGGCTGATCTTGAACTCCTGGCCTCGAGCAATCTTCTTGCCTCAGCCTCCTAAAGTGTTGGTATTACAGGTGTAAGCCACCATGCCTGGCTGTGCTGCTGGTTTTTTGAGGAGAATGTAAAAACATTCTTTCTTTACAGAGAATGGGAGGTTTTGCCCATAGATGTGATCTTGCCTAAAGAGCTTCCCAGGGGGGAACATAGACAGATGTAGTCTTTAAAAAATATCCTACATTTTTCTCAAGGAAACTTTTAGCAAAAATATTTGGGAAAGAGAGGAAGGTTGCCCATCAAGAAGTGATCATAGTAGAATATTTAAAAATACCAGAACACTTTATATTTAGGATATAAATACACGTTAAGTGAAGGGAAACATTTGAAGGTGCTGTGTGAGCTGGAAACTCTTAGTCATCCATTTGAAGTGGGGCCTTCTGATGGCCCAGCCCCTCCTGGCAGCCACATCCCTTAAAGGAACACTCCCCGTTTTTAGCCTCAAAGCCCAAACAAATAAGAAATGGCTCACCAACGATGCCATCTGATTTAAGAGTTTGTTAAAAATATCAGATTGTTTTGGAGGGCAGACGCCAGCTGACAAGCTTGAAAATGCTGGGTGAGAAGCAATTAGAAGCAGATGTTGCTATGCCTGGTACTGGCCTGTCTGGGAGGCTCTCCCAAGCCAGGAGTGTGGGTGAAGGATCTGTGCAGTGTTTGTTTTTCCTTCCTTTTAATCAACAATCCTCCCCCGCCAGGTCACGAGGCTTGTTCCGTTGGCATCAGTTGGGCTCAGGGGATGGCACTCTTTCCTGCACTGACAGGTGCTGCCCAGGTATCTTTCACGGACTTGCAGGAAGACCAGGGAGGACAGGAAGGCTCCCTGCCCTCCAGGGACTGCTCCCTGTCAAGCCCCGCAGGAGCCCAGGGAGCAGGTGGCGCTGTCCCGGGTGCTGAACCCGCTGGCTCCGCCTGGGCGAATGTATGAACTCCCAGAAGCCGGCAGCTTTTCCTGGCTGTGTTCAGGAACACCAGCGGGAACCACAGGTGGCAGCAGGAGGGACACAAACCTTAGCTTAGGACCAAGACAAGCTTTCTTCTAAATAACATGCAATCACATGGCAGAATTGGGAAATTCAGAGAAAGAAAGAAAGAGTAATCCAAGCAGTCAAAGGTCAGCACTAATAATACTTTGCTGTGTTTCTTGTCATTGTTTTTCCCCTGCATTTTTTCAAGTAAAGACACTAGTATTACTTTTGTATGTAATTTTGTATTTGGCTTTTCACGTAGCATATAAGGATATTTCTTGTTGGTAAACAGACTCTTACAAGTCATCAGCACTGTTTTTTGACTCAGTATGACCTCCTGACTTGCTTCCTTCCTTACTCCTGGTCCTCAAAAACATGTCTGATATGAGCAGTTTCTCGATAAACATCTATGGATTGAATGAATCAGATGAATGAATTCTTCCACTTATTGAACCATTTCCCTATGTTGGACATGTAGGATATTCCAGACATTTTTTTTCTCTTTGAAATTACTAGATGTGAGGGTAGAAATCAGGGGTTGGCAAACTACAGGCTGAGGCTAAATCCAGCTTACAGCCTGGTTGTAAACAAAGTTTTATTGGGACACAGTCACACTCATTCATTCACATATTACCTGTGGCTGCTCTCACTGTGATGGCAGTGGCACACTTGAGTAGCTGCAACAGAGACCACGTGACCCACAAAACCAAAGATATTCAAAAACTGTGTGATCTTGGTATAGAGAGATGTAGTTCTGACATCTGTCACCCTTCAGAATCCCTTCCTCTAAGCTGGCTGAGAAAGTACCCTATCTGTATATCCTTGCAGAAACCATGTGTTCAGAGAGTGTCTTGGTCAAGCAGGGAGCTGTTCTTCATATGGGGGGGTGCATGACCTGTTTCTCTCTCTTGTTCTAATCTCCAAATAGGCCGTCAAGGTTTGCTTTATTACACATTCTGCCCTGAGAAACATCCTTGTACATATAGCTTTTTCTATATTTGGGTTTTACGTCCTCAAGCTTGAGTCTCAGAACTCAAATTCCTGGGTCAAGCAAGCCAACAACTTGAAGCCAAGGAGTGGGGGTTTCTGCTGGCAGGACTGAGGCTAGTGAGCCCCCCAAGGGGGGATGGCAGCAGAGGCCACATTGCGTCTCCCTGAGATCTTAGGGCCGGGATCTGATGAGTAGTTGGCACAGATAACGTTTGAGCTACTTCCCAACTGTGAGATGTTATGATTCCTTCAATTCAGCCAAATGGTAAATGCCAAGATCCCAGGCTTCTCCAATCCAGCCAATTCATTCCGGCAAATGGGCCACCTGGCTGCCTTCCTTCTCCTGGCTGCTCTCACCACCTCGGGTTCAGGATCAGAGCACCTCTCGTCCTGCAGAAGGCCTGACTCCTCAGACCAGCAGCAGGACATGTTTGGCACGAGCCGCCCAGCATCCCTCCAGGGCTGGCTTCATGCCACTGGCAGAACTTTTCTGACTCTTCTTTCTCCTGTCAGCTTCACTTGGGTGTGGCCTGGAACCCAGGTCACTACATCTGGCCTTTATGGTACTGTGGGACTCCCTCCCTCCACAAGCTCCTCCAGGCCTCCCCTGCCACTGGCCTGTGCTGCAGGAGACTGAGCTCATGCCCTCCCTCCACCACTCGCCCAGTGGCGTGATCCCAGGCAAAGCCCTTGGACATAGGCCCCTTATGCCGCAATTTTCCAGTTGTTATAGTAAAGGGGCAGGAGGCACATGTGCACAGGGAGCCCTTGGGGCTTTTGTGGGGTACAGGCTCTGCTTCCACAGATGTGGGTGGGAAGAGGTCCTACATTCCCGACAAGCGCCCAGGAGATCAGAACGCAGCAGTCCCTCGCTTCTTTCAAGGGGGCTCCTTGACCTTCATCCTTGTGTGGTCTGCACCATCTGCAACTTGTGACCTGTCCCAGTGATAGCAATGGCTCTTGACCATCTCACTTGCCTGTGAGCACCTTCCTCCACAGGTGCTTGCTTACAGCCAGTCACCTCTGTGCCTAGCATCCCTGCAGGGCCTGCATGAGAGTAGGTGCTCAGGGCCAGCGGGAGTGAACTGGTGGGGTCAGCTGGCACTCTCTTCTTCTGAGTCGAGGTCTCACTCTGTCACCCAGGCTGGAGTGCAGTGCATGGTCATGACAGTCATGGCTCACAGAAGCCTCAACCTGCTTCCACGGTGATCATT